GTACCGCGGGGCGGAGAGCGAGCCCGGCCTCTACCTCGCTGTGTTGGGCCGCGTCTTCGATGTAGAGCGCGGCCGCAGGCACTACGGCCCCGGCGGTGCCTACAGTGGCCTCGCAGGTACCTCCTGTGGAGCGGGGGATGGGAGCTCCGGGGCCGGGGCTTGGGCCTGGCCGGGCCCTGACGGGGGGCCTGGCTGGGGCTCAGCACCTGGTTACCCTGCAGGGAGAGATGCCTCCAGAGCGTTTGCCACTGGCGACTTCACCCAGGCAGGGCTGGTGGACGACGTGTCGGCGCTGTCACTAAGCCAGATGCTCACCATCCAGAGCTGGCTCTCCTTCTACAGCGACAACTACGATCCCGTGGGTAGGTGGTTCTGGCTGGGATGCCCACACGCAAGGGCAAGGCATGTGGAGGAGAGCGGGTGGGCGCAGGGAGGCCCGCACGGCCATGGGAGTAGGGGGATGCACTGCTCCACCAGGTTTCATCTACAGCCTGTGCTTGGTGAGGGTCTTCCAGCTGTTCTGCAGCCCAGGGTACTGAAACGTGTGAGTGATCAGCTGGAGCTGCTACTAAATCAGACCGAGTTTGAGGTTTGCATCTCTCTAAGGTGAAGCTTAGCAGTTATCCTCCCCTGGGCTGCGAGCTGCAGCTGTCTGCCTGCTTTTATTCGTCTCTGCTGAGCAAAAGGCATGGAGCCAGCACTGCAAGGGCTGAAATTAGCAGGACTCGTGGGACTGTAGGAGCAGTGGTGCAGGAAAACTATTTTGGGAAATTAGGTGCATGGGTAGGAAAGACTTCTGGGTTCTGCAACTGAATGTGGCATTGATTTCCGATCTTTAATCGAGTCTGCGCCTACGCTTGTCCTGTGTGGATTTATTAATAGGGGAAAATTGCTGTGTGATCCAAGAGTGGAAGGGATGTAATCTCAGTTTGGTTTTAAAATTGGGCCATGGCAAGATCCCCCTTTTTCTGTCTTTAAATAACAAATTAACAAACGAATGAACAAAACCCAGGACTATTTGTTTTCCTTGCCCTGGAACACTGTGGTTTTAATTATCTTCTCTCCCAGGGAAGCTGGTGGGCAGATTCTATGATGAACATGGGACACCAACAGAAGCCTTAAGACAGGCTGAAGCTGCGATTGAGGAAGCTCTGAAGTTCACAGCAGAAAGTGAAGAGCGAAGGAAGCAGCAGTTTCCACCCTGCAACTCTGAATGGAGTTCTGCTAAGGGCGGCCGGTTCTGGTGCTCCAGACAGAGGTAAACTGCCTTCCTACTGTCATGCGTGGACCCTTTGGAGCAGAGCATTTCTGCCCTTCTTTTGGATGCCCCGAGCTTTGTCACTGCCTCTCTTAGCATGAGTGGCACAGGAAGATGTCCTGGCTCCTGCAGCCACTGCAGTCTGTAGGTGAGGTCTGCTGACTTCTCCAAGGAAGGGCGTAGGTGCTGAGTGCTGGCATGGCTGGAATACCCCAGGCCCAGTCCCTTCCCCTGTCTGCGTTCCTCAGGCCGTGCTTTCCGGCAGGCAGAGCCAATGGACAAGGTCGAATCGGAGTCCCTAGCTTTTCTCTGCCAGTCCAGCAACCGCCGATAGCCTCGAGCCAGTCTGGAGTTGCAAAGAGGCTGGGCGAGTGAAAATGTTCTCCAGCGTGAGGTAGCTGAGAAGAACTCTACTTACTGATCTGGGGAGCAGGTAAAAGGAAAATGAAGTTTCATCCCAATCATTACTACTTTTAGGAATTTTATTTCTGAGACAACAACTCTTCTGTTCCACTGGAATCAAAATCAGGTTTCAGAATTTGCCAGGTGTGCACATGATCCTCTTTTTCTCAGGAAAACAGGACAGAAATCCTACTAGGATCATCTGTTGCATTCAGACAAGTTTTCTCACCTGTTAGGAATCCAAAGATGAGCTTGTGTTTTTCAGACAGTTTCACAGCCTGTCCCATGGGCTACTGTCACAACAGCTTTCACTTAAAACCACGTAAAAATTGGGTTGAGCTTTGAATAGTCATTTCCTACTTGGCATATTCAGTTTACCTCAGTTTAGGGACTATTTTGTTTGGAGATGGACCACATTGCAAAATGCTTTGGCTTCACTTTGGTGCACCAGTAGCACTACGTACCTTGGGGCTTCTGCTTCTGTGTGTGACTGAGCTTGAGTGCAGCCTTGGGACTGGAGGTTGTGTGGCAGTCGCTGGTGTAAGAGTTTACAGGCTTAAAAGATGCAGTAGTTAGGGGAGCAGGCATTTTTTGGCCTATAAAGAGACACTATGAAGTAGTTACAGAAGCACTTGAGACTTGTTCTTTTCCCTATGTCTCACAGTCACGGGCTTGGTCACAGCACAGGAGGTGTGTGGTTATCTGAGCACTTGGCTACCCCCAGAAAAGGCGTTTTGCCACCAGATACACTGTGCTATGTAAAGCTATGATTCCTTTTTCCAGCAATAGAAGTGTGGGAAGCAGATGTTGATTGCTCCCAGAAGGGTGAGAGCATGCAGCACCACTGATGAAACCAGGTTCAGGCCACAGGTTTCTGAAAGCATAGCCAGTGAAATGGTACCAGAAAGCTGTGGGCAGAATGTTGACTGCTGGGAGCAAAGTCTACCTCAGTGAAGGTATTGTGAGTTCTAACTCTCTCAGATTGTCTTTTTTTTTCCCCCCACTCTAATGATTCTCTATTTACTGAAAGCGATTTCAGGGGTATGAATTGCAATTTATTTTCATTTTTCCATTCTCAGTGGGGGAGTGAACAGAGACTGGACTGGTGTCCCCCGGAAGCTGTACCAGCCTGGTTCAACGGGGAGTCAGTGCGTGTGTGTGAGGACTACTGGTCCCCCCTGGGGCCAGCCAGACTCCATCAAGCACAGCAACAGGGGTGATCTGGATGACCCTCACCTGGAGGAATACGACAGCTGCAATCCACTGGCAGAGCAGTGTGTCCTGACAGTGTGAATCAAGTGCGGGATCCCAGGGTACCACAGTCCTGAAGCGAAATGGTGCTGCAGGTGGGCAGCTCCAGCTCATTTCCTTCTGTCTGTGCAGTAATAATTTCATTACATTTGTGACTTTTCTAACTCAGTAACTTTTTAAGTACAAGAACTGCTACAGCATCACTGACCTCAGTTTACGCAGTCCTCCAGTCCCTTGACCTCTGCCTGCCACATTGCAGTGCTAATGCTCCTTCCCAGTCACCTGATTTACTCCAAAGAGTTTAAAGGTAGCAGGCAGAAGCCTGGATTTCTCCAGTTAAGGTATGTAGTGTCTAGGAACTGGTGCAGTTTAGTCATACACAAACTTTTCTTTGGAGTACAGCAGACAAAGGTCATAGGTGAATTTCCTCCTGTAGTGTTTGTATTAGATATCATGCAAAGAAGATACTTGAAGTCACCTATGAGGATCATTGTTTTATATTAACCTCACCATCCTGGTCCTCTGATTCACTACTTTCAAACCACGCAGATCAGGAATTGATAGTTTCAAATAGGTGATAACAAAAGCTGTGTGACAACATGACCACCCTACTGTAATCTGCCTCCTGTTTCCATCCTGGTGTGTGACCTCTTTCCATCTGGTACACATCCCTCAGGTTATAACCTCAGGCTGGGTGTTTCCTCACAAGGCCCAGCTCCCTTGCAGTCTATACAAGTTATCACAGCTGGCAAAATTCAGTCACATGAGTGACTCCCAGAAGAGCAGGGCAAGTCATTTCCCCTTTCCCCATTTCTCTGGGGGGCTTGAAAAGGACAAGGGAGTACCTGCATAGGCCTAGGTGCTCTAAACCCCAGGCTGCAGGGAAGTAGTCGCTGGTTTTCATAGAAGCTGCTGTTGGGATCAGTTTCTCATGTAGCTGCAGCCTTGCAAGACACCCAGATCACATGGAGTCCAGCAGTGGCACAGATCTGGGCTGAGCTGTGTTCAGTTCATCTCCTTAAAGCAGGTGCCACCTACTTAAAAACAGCTAGGAGGCATTTATACATGCGTTTGTTTTGAGCTACTACCATCTCTAAAAAATGTCCCACAAGTCTTAAGTAATTTGTAACTGGCAGCATTGCTTCAAAGTAAGAGTAACCACTTCATTACAGCAACAGCAGGACGTGTTGCAGCACTTGTCACCTCTGATATTTAAATGAGGCTGCAGCTGCCATGGATGGGAGTCACACAGCAACTTAAATGTGTACGTGCTTATTGTAATAAATGTTTGTGGATTTGTGGTTTGGTTTTGGTTTGAGGTTGGTTTTTTATTTTTCAAACCCGGTTCTGTTGTGTTTCTTTTCCACCACAATCTTGAAGATAAGTCCTCCAAGCCTCTTTTAGGGAGATGGGCCAGCTCTTATCAGTGGAAGTTGTAGGTACAGATGAGTGGCAGCAGAGCCATCACACAGCGTTCAAGTCCCCAGTCATGCTTTTAGAACTGAAACTCAGCCATGCCGTGCCATCTCTGGGCTCACAGCGGGGTACTCGGGTCACGTAATCTTAGAGATAAGCTGTGCAAAATCTGCAGAGCAGAGCTGCAAAGCAAGGCATCATCGTCTCAACAGTGTCAGCACGGCATTTGCTTTTGGACACATCTTCTTTAACAAGAGCTTGCATTTAGAGGTCAAACCATCCCCAAAAATTATTGGCAAGCATCTTTAAAACAGCTTTTTAAAGCTGTTCAGAAGTTGCAGCAGATTCCAGGTTAAAGACTGTAGAAAGTAGTTTGTAAGAGCACATCAACAGCACAGCTTGGAGCCCTGGTGAAGGCACATCAGCTGTGTAACTTTTGAGTGAATTTCAAACAGTGCTGAACTGCTAAGGGATGGTTTTGATCTTACAAGCTACACAAAAAGCCAAATAAGCTGCTGCAGGAAGGCAAGACAGGATAGTGTTTTAAAAAAACCAAAACCCAATTCACAGCTTATTGCTCAGTTTACCGGGAGGGAAAGTTTGCCTTGCACTAGGAATAAGTCATTTATTAAAGCAAACAAGGAGACTCCCTCACTGACCTGAAGTGCTCCAGGATTACCTTGTTTCTGCTGCACTTTGAAAGCTCTGCTGGGTTCTCCCATAGAAAATAGCAATAGTTACACAGGGGCCAAGTCAACATAGGTAGTGCTCCAATAAAGCTCACCATTCATCTGTACTTCAGTAATACTGGTTTTATTAACAAAGACCAATATATCACAGTCTCACCAAGATGGTTTGGTTAGTTTTGCTATTGCACTGAAGCCTTCCTTTTCCTGCAGTGAAGCTGCAGCAGTTACGTGCTCTTCCAGGGGGCTGAGCTGCCCAGCAGGACACAGCTGAATGCAAGCATGGTACCAGGAGTCAGTTCAGCTTGGCCATTTCAGTGGATTACTCCATGAACCAGCTCCAGCCTGCAGAAAGCTAGGGGCATTTCTTAAGAATGATTACAGGTAAGGCAAGTGGAAGGCATTCAAGACAACTGAAACAGCCAAC